ATATTTCATATTTAAAATGAAAGTGCATGATCTTTTTTATCTTTCTAATCCNTTTTTTTTTTTTCTTTGCAATGAAGGGTAAAATGAGATCAGCGGATTCCATTAGAAACATCAATTAATCACGTTCTTCACGATCGATGTATCGCAGCCCATCCTAACATATATCATTCTTACATATTTTGTATAGAATATTTTATAATTAATCAAAACCATTTTCTTTTTATTTTTTTTAATATAATATTGACGAGTTAATTATAGGATTGTCTTGATAATTCGCTGTTCTCGAATCTTCGTGCATTATCCAGATTTCTCTTCGAATTTCTATAATTTTATTTTATATATGTTATAATTCTATTTTATATATGTTTTTGAGCTTCTTTTTAATTCTTCATTCTGTAAATTTACTTCAAACACATATTATAATAATACACTTTGCGATTCATTTAATTTGTTTAATTATATATGACAGTTCTTAAATTAGTTCGTTAACGTAATAATAATATATAATATTATATTTTTTTTTCTGGCTGTATTTCTTAAAGAAATATTTCCAAGGCTTATATAGTCTCATGTGCATATCATTTTAGAACTCTTTTTTTTTTCTTCACGGAGAACAATGTGCGATCCAATGATGTCATGCCAAGATTTTTCTCTATTTTTCTCTATATATCTTTTTATATAATATTTCTGAAGAAGAAATTTTGTTGAAGAATCTCTTCGCATGAACATCATTGTTATTAATTAAATAGAATCTGTAAATAGGATTAAATTGTAACATTTTTGGCATTTCTCTTTCTTTCGGAAAAGAATTTGTTTTCCAAGTTATAAATATATATGTATATATATATATATATATTTTATTTTCTATATTGATACGTATATTCATTAACTAGGTCTCTATTATAATATGAAAAATCTTGTATCTGTCGAAGTTATATCGATCAGAATTATCACAAGAGTGTCGATAAGTCTGCATCCTAGAATTTGCAGTTGGCCTAATGAAAATTCGAACTAATTTTTATGTTCTATATATAATATATATTTGGTAACTTTTTTTGTAACTAATGTGAGCGATTTTTTTCAAACAAATTATATTTTTTTCATTACAGAGCAGTTTCCTTCTCACTGATTATCTTAATGCCATGTTTGGTCAGAATCATCTTTACAGTTTCGTTGTCTCTGACCTTTGGCTTTTCCATCCAATTTAGATCTTCCCTTCCTAGGTTCTCCACTAGGGAATCTAAGTTATCTGTGGACGAATCCATGTATCGAACATTGTCTGCTGATCTCTGCAATGATTTACATCTTCTAGAATTTCTGGAAATACGTATATTGTCTGCAGATCCAATCAACTTGTTATTCTTAGGCCTAAAAACTTTATCATTGCTTTTGGAGGACACTTTTGCTAATTGAAGATTATCCACTGACGAGTAACGTCTCTTGTCCTGAGTAACATTAACTGAATCTTCAATTGGTTTTTTTCTGAATAAAGATCCTTTACGATTTATGCGTCTAGAGCCACTGGTCAGAATAGCCAACTCATCTTTAGGAATAAAATATTTGTCTCGTGATTTTTTCTTGATAACGGCCGAATCTGAAATATTAAAAGACTTGGATAATTGTTTTTCATCAATTTGGTGAACTAATGATTCTGATCCACTTTGAAAACCACAATTCTCGATCTCGAAACTATCTTCATCCAATGATGGATCAGTTGCAATACTATCACCGATTCTGGAACTATCTTTTGGAAGACTTCTCGAAAAAGATTCAAATGCCCGACCTTGAATCAAATCTCTTGATTCTCTGGTTATAGAATAAGATCTTGATTCCTGATCGGGATTAAACGTGGCACAGATTTCATTGCAGATCTCGCATACTTCACACAGCTGGTCGCAATCAGTTGTCGAGGAAACAAGTTTTCGATCTATAGTATCAGTAGACTCTTGCAAATTCCAAGAACTACAAATATCGCATTCTGTTGAATCTTCGTCAGCAATGGAGCTACAATTAGAACGTAGAATCACTTCTTCTGTTCCAATGACATCCTCCGTTCTTAGAGATAACTCGTTTACATAGCAACAGACAGAGCAAAATTCATCCGTTTGCATGTCTAATTCGTTTGCTGTAATTAACTGAGAAGTGCTATCAGCTTTCGATGGATCTTCATAACATATCTCTTGCATTTTTTTAATGGACTCGTAACTCTTTGATTTTTTCGAAAACATTTCCTCAGTTTTCGATTTTCTTCTAGAAATTGTTCTAGAATCGTTTGTAGTGATCACCGAATCCAAACTTCCTTTCAAAGGCACATACTGTTTTGATTTTTTATTTTTTTCGTCGCTGATCACTGTGGACTCGTAAATTCTCGAATTGCTAGCCATCTTCTGACCATTTAAATGAGATTTTCCTTCTTTTCTAGGACTTCTTGATTTCAACGATGATTTTGATACAGTTTTGTAAAATGTTTCTTCCGATTGTGTGCCTGAATCGGTACTCTTTTTTTTCACTTTTTCGTTCTCTTTTATCCATTTCTCATCACTTTCATTGGTGTATACTCGTATTTGACCGTTCTTTGTTTTCCTAGGACTTTTGCAAGCATTCACCACAGACTTTATATACTTACCATCTATTTCTAAGCTTACATCTCGTTTCAAGGATTTTTCATCTAGTGAGTCATCAGAATTTTCTTTCGTCATTTCCGTTCCATCATCGATTATTTCTTGTATTTTTACGGTGCTTTCATCACTCACTGAAGATGGAACAGGCGATTGTACCAATAGACTCAGTTTGTCGATACTTCCATCTGATTCACCTTTGTATATCGTGATCTCGCCTTTATTCTGTACACCACTTTCTTCGACAATTAATGTCGTTCCTTCTTTATCGAAAGCATTATGTATCATTGCACTAACCACTACTAATACTTGCGTATTTGAGCATCGAATACTATCGCTAGGAAAACCATCTTGATCATAAACTTCATCGCTGTTCTTTCGATCAGCTTGTTGGCTTTTGTATTGTAGATTCTCCTGTTGATTCTCAAAAAAGTTATGCTTGCTTAATCGAGAATTTTCATCTACATCTTGGACTTCATCTTCAGCTGCGTCGTCTAAATCGTACCATGTCAATCTGTAATCTTCTTTATCCACGCTGAAATCGGATAAGGCGCATTCATGGCGTCTTCCACCATTTTTTATAGCAGATATCTTCGTAGACGAAACAGTTGAAGACGAAATCAAAGATTTAACATTGCGATTCTTGCCACTATTATCTCCTAATCCTACATCGATAATATCGTATTGGACTCGAGCTTTGTCAATCATTTGTAAAGATTTATCCGTACTATCTTTAGTCTCGATAGATGATCTCGCATTAATTTTAACAAAGTTCTCGCATTTCGACGAAGTGGCGACACTTGAGGACACCTCTTCTAGCTGACTCGATCGGGGCTGTACCCTCACCACCTTCCTGATCTTTCTATCATCGTCAACGAAACCTACCTCGTCGAGGATCTGCGACTCGCCGGTTTCGGTGGCGATGATCTGTTTCGCGAGACCTGGATACGCGGCCTTCGCGGTTGTTATATGTTTGGCGTTACCATTTTCGGCGACGAGAGCGCTAATGAATTTTTCGCGCGCCTCCTCGAGGCCGCCGACGTGACGTGAAGTGACACAAGCCACATTCGTTGCGTTCTGCATATTCTTACGCAGAACAGTGTCAGGCACATCGATGGATATAATTTCAATCGGACTCGGGGATTCCATGGTAACGTCGCTAGGCGACGGCGTGAGAAAGGTGCTTTGATACTTGGAATCAATGGTCAAGTAATTATTCGCATTGGGCGAGGTCAGTTCCAACTTACTTCAGTATCCAAGTAGATTGGCAGCGTGAAAAACAAGACACTATTTTTTATATGATCTTCATTATTTTGATACTCGGTAGATGTCCGATTCAGGACAAAAAATGTTTCATCTAATTTACTCTTACTTAAAAAGAAATTATATTGAATGATTATAAGAAATTTTGTTCTCTTATTTTTTTATTAGAAAAGTGTTGTTTAAATAGTAAAGGGAACTAAAAAAAAAAAAGGAATATTTTCTTTATCGTGAATCGGTACTTTTACTATGATTGACAAATTAAATATATTTAATTAGAGAAATCAATATATATAATGTAAGGAATGTAAAAAAAAAAAAAATGCAGTTGCTAAGATTTATTTGTAATTACAGTATTAAAAAATAGATCGTTAAAATTTATATACAAATGAAAGATTCTTAGACTAGACGAACATATTGCTTTGTAATATTTGATGATTATATAATAATGAGTGACCCTTTTAACACTCAATAAATAATTTTTATAAAATAATATTACAATATAGATATATAGATATTTTCTAAGATAAGTAATTCAAAAAATCATTAAATATATAATAATATTTCAAAAATTGAAAAATATTCATTAACAAGATTTATAATATATAATACATATAATATAATTTCATAAAAATAATTATATTATTTCGTTCATTTTCGTTTTATAATTAAATATGTTTTTTATAAAATAAATCTATTATATCTATTTTTATAATATAATTTATAGTATTTGTAATATATTTAAAGAGTTAATTTGTAACAATAAACAGTTTCTTATTTTCATTCTTTCATACAATATTTTAAATTTCATATTTTTAAAATAAATTTAATATTTTAGTTATTATATTTTTACAATTAGTGCAATATTATTGAGTATTAAGAGAGTTAAATTTTAATCATAAATATATACTCATATTACTTTGTATCAATTTTTAAGTTAACTAATTCTGTACACTCTAAACTCACCAACTACGTGGAATATGAATGCTATAAAAATATAGACTTTTCATACAAAATACATAAAAATAAATTTTTAATTAAATCTATTGGAAGATATGCTATTAAATTAGCACTAATTATATGATCTATCATTTTAGTTAAATTATGTTAGACTCACATTGTTGATGCTGTTGTCTTTGCATCATAAATTCTTTGCTTATAGACATAATCAATCACAGCATCTTGTAAGAGATATCTGACGCTTTCACCTCGCTTTAATGCTCTTCTTATTTTACTTGAACTGACTTCATTTGGAATCCATTCAGTTACTATGTGTATATTGTGCTGTATGGAAGTTAATTATCAGAACACAATCACATTACATAAGAGATATATAATCAATATTGATAAGATCATTTACCATATGTTTAGAAAGAATGTCTGAATCATATATAAATTTATTTGGATTAGAACCTTCCCTAGTAATAACTACAAGACCATGTTCTCCAACAATAGCATCAATCTATAAAAAAAATATAAATATTTCTTTTAATTATTAAAATATTATTATTATTAATATTATTATAGCATTATTAAATATTATTAATAGCATTATAAAAGAATATCAATTTACATCTTCTTCCATCCAAAGATCATAAATTCCAAAACTTTCTAATAAATCAGCACCACATAATAGTTTAATTTGAATTGGTGTACAATCAGAACTATTTTTTATATTTTCTGGAATCCATTCCAGATCTTCAATTGGAATATTATGTTTAATATTGTTTGAATCAAATACCATGGAATTCAATAAATTTTGATGGTATTGTAAAGTTATTCTAGTCCTTGACCAACCATTTTGTTTAATTTCCCAAGTACTAAGTCGAATCCAATCATTATTCTGTAAGGCTAATCTTAGCATAGCACATCTGTGTGTTGCACTTGCTAGTTCTTTTTTGGCATATGCATCATGTACTGGAGATATAACTCCACCAACTACAATATGCGTGCCCATTCTATGTAGATGATCTCTGGCAATTTCTATAAATTTCAAATGAAAAATTATTGCAATATTTAATATAAATTTTATAATACTTATATATACATAAAATACATAATACTTATATATAAAAAAAGGATTATATTTAACATGACAATTATAAAATATATTATAAAAAGATAGAATTAAAGTTATTTTTATAAAATAAAAAAATTATATATATTTAATTTTGTTTAAAAGAATTAATCATTCTAAACGATTTTTTATATGTTGATAATATCATCCGTTGATTACATAATATATTTTTAATAATGATTTGTTCAAAACAAAATATAGTTATTATAAAATTTGTCTATTATATTATACATATTGAAGAGCTTTATGAAGTATTTAAGAAGAGACTGATATTGATTATAAGGAATGATATATATGTACCAAACATTCTTAAATGCATATTGGTTGGAGGGTTATAACTGCCACACGAAAAAAGAATAACACGCGTTGGTGCCATTTTTTCTTTTTTTATCTGACTGCATGTGATGACAGTTTTACTGGACTGCTGAAATTCTCTTCTCGTAACTTTATAGAGATAAAACACGCAATATTTAAACCGATGCGTAGTAATACGAGATAAATCGTTATACGAACTACTGTAACAACCAACTACACTATATGAACTACACACTGGCTGATGTTTCAGCCATATTTGAAATGGTGCTACTACAGGAGTCAGTTGAGAAATTGTTCTTAACATACTAATTATCTTAAATAATTTTAAAATTTGTTAACTTTTCTAACATACTGTATATTTTGATCTTTTATATAAGCAATCATTGTCAATTAAAAAATTTATATACGATAGTCAATTATTAATTTGATACATGTTAAAATATCGCCACTTTCCTTTCAAAAGGTTGTTTAAAACGATCTATTGTATTGATTTAATACAAATTGTCTATCTATATTGTGATATTTATTATTTTATTTGATTGATATATTGGAATAATATACATAATTATTTTATACAAAAAGTTCGAAATAATTTTAAATAATATGGTATATTATTCAAATCTATGAAAGTTATGATATAACATAATAAATAATTTTAGAAATATTAATATATTTTTATATATTATATATACTTTTATATTAAGTAATTTTAAAATATTTTTTATTATTTAAAATTAAAATTATTTAAAATTGTATAATTATTTAATAACTTCATTATATTAAAGAANTATTTTTTAATTATATTATTCTCTATCTAATTATATTTGAAGATAGGTTATAAAATGTGTATATATATTATGTATGTATGTATATACATGTTTTTGCCATAGAATTATTTGCAATTAAATGTAATATTGATTTCAATTTTTATCTACTATTATTTTTTTTTATTTTTTATTTTATTTTTATCTACTATTTTTTTAATATTATTTTATTTTTTAATGATTATTTAATAATGTTATTATTAAATAATGTTTAAAAATTATTAATAATGTAATTTAATATGTAAGAAAAATTAATTTATTCTTTCCTTTAATCATTTTTATCAATCTTTTTATTTTTATATTCTTTTATTAATATTTTATTAATATTGTCATATAATGTATTAAATGAATTTCATAATATGTCATAAATATAATATGATAACTTCCGATGTTCATTTATTCAAAAATTATTTTTATTTCATTTTATTATCTAATAAAAATATAATGCTAGGATAGGACATTGATGGCGCCAAAGTAAAATCGATATTATCAATGCAATACATTGATAAGATAATTTCAGATTAACAAATTTGATATGTGATTAAATATAATCGATATGAAAGTTCATGTATTATATGATATGTACTTTTTAATTTATTCAATTTATATAATCATATTATATATTTAAAAAAAAAATGACAAAATTATATATTTAAAAAACACAAATATGATTAATAAAATATTTTGATTATTATATTTATTTAATATATTTTTATAATTATGCAACTCTATATAATTTTTCTTACGGTTCTGAACGATTAAAATACATTTTTTTAAATGAAATATAAAAAAATTTTTTTTATTAAAATCTTAATATTTTATATAATAAAATCTATAAAATTTATAAAGTATCTATAAAAGTATATGTATGTTAGTTATAAAATTTATTTCTCGAATTCTAGAATATTTTAATTATATTATTTTTATAAAAGTTCAATATTCATAAATAAAATTCTATTATGAATGTATTTATTATTTTCTGAATGAGTCAGCAATGTCAATAATATTAGCAATAAAAAAATGTCCTTGATTATTCTGATAAGTGAGTCGTAAATTTTCTAAGAAACTAACTTACTAAGAAATTATAATTCTGTAAAGTTGATCGTAAAACTGGATAATTATAGAATATTTTTTAAAAACATGTGCAAGAAATATTATTCGACATAATAATAATAATTCTCAATAATTTTTAAATAGAAATTTTAATAGTAAGATAAATAAGTAATAAAAATTAGTAAAATAATTTTTTTAAATAAAATAAAATAAAATAAAAATTTATTTTGATAATTTATAAAACTTAAAAAATTGTTAAAATTTATAATTATTAAGAATTTGTATCTAATACAAACTTCAATTTCTCTACATATGAATAAATAAGTATTAATCGACATTTTTATATAACTTTTGTGTATAACTTAAAATATCTAGCTTATAATATATGTAATATAACTTAAAATATAAAGCTTTAAGATATAAATTCAATCTTTTTTACACTATAATTTAATTTATTCTTCCTTGCATATTTATTTCATTCATTTTGTTTATTTATTCTTATAGAATCTAGATAAATTTGCTTTTATGAGAAAAATTATGTATTTATTTTTCTAAATTTAATTAATTAATTTTTATATTCTATATTCATAAAATTTCTACAAATTTATATATATATAATATTATCTTAAAAGTTTGGAAAAGTTATTATTTAGAATAATATTTTATATAATATTTTGAACAATTATTCAATTTAGAATAAATAATTATATAATATTATTATAATTAATTATAATTTAT